ACGCGCAATCCGTACATTCCTTGACAAACATTCCGACGTCTTGGAACATCCCGGTCAAGAAAAACTCTGAACGCAGACGCTCATATGTCCTGGTGATACCTTGATGGCCACTCTGGAAATCCTCGTGAGCGTGGTGTAGGATGTCTGGTCGCAAGGCTTCTGGTACAACTAGTCGAAGTTCAGAACGCTTGTCCCTAGGACGTTCCGGGGTAGTTACAGCCAAACGATAAAGGACGTCTCTTGAGTCTAAAACATACGGGTATGAACCCTTCGCGATTTTCTTGACTTCCTTTCGCGTATAGTTCAACAGGTCACCTTTCAGATAATCCTTGAGCCTTTTTAGCTCTGGATCCTCATCCTGATGGACTTTAATCCGTCTCCAACGTTCGTCTCGATAATCAAGTGGCCGACTCGGGTCATCTACTTGGGCAACCTGACTTCGGGTTGTAACTATCTTCACGGGTGTTACTGTCTCAGACGCGTTTGGGCAGGGTCTGAAATGAGGCCACTTGAACGATATCTCTTCAGACTCTGACTTGCGTCGTGTATTTGTTCCGACGTTTCCGGGGTCTTCATAATGTTCTCCGGGATCCTGGAGACAAATTTCAGATACATCAGTTCGTCCGCATCTTCCACCACCCACGCTTTCTCGAGTGCCAATGTCTTCGTCGTTACGTAATCTGTTGCCTGGTTGTAGTCACGTTTAACGTGGACCAACTGTACGGAGCCAAATTTCCCTTTCAAGGCTTCATACGCAGCAAGTCGACGTTGCCGATTAGGCTGGTGGCAACCTATCAACCCTTGCGCTTGTTGGATTACGAAAGGCAGGTCCTGAACGCTCTTGGCGATCTTCGGGGTAGCTCTGATGCCTTTGGCACATACTTCGTGAGATAGATACGGTATAGGACGGTCACATCACTCGCTTTTTGGAAGACTAACCGAGATATTCCAGTATCGGAGTCGGAATAGCAGAGCATTCAGATCTTCACAAAGTGTGTCCCAGGTAGGCGCCCCGTGAGCTATGTCGCCTATGTAAAAGCTTCGTTCCAGGACCGGTCCCATCTGCGTCGGGGTCGGAATGTTTCGCCTGAATGCAGTCGCCTCCTTCATCAATTCTGGAAGTCTGAAACCACCTTCGCCTTGAGGATCTTCGATCGTCGGTCCTGTGTCTGGGACGGTCAACTTCAGAAATTCCAGGACATCTCGATCTTCCTCAGGCGGGAGCCGCACAAATCCCCAGATACAGTTATTCATCACACTCTGATACACTAGCGTTCTTGAGTCCAAAGGCATCCATATCCACTGGAAATGTCCGAATGGGCAGACAAAGGCCGAAATCAACTTCACTCGCTCTGTCATCTGGATCGCACAGAAACCGCTCGCCATATCTAGACTCATGAACCATGCCGCAGCATTAAAGTCAGTCAGCAAGTCGTCAATTAGAGGTAGAGGGTATCGCGATAGCTTGATCAACTGATTAACCAGCCTGTAATCAACACACATTCTGATATCCTCTCCATTCTTCTTCAAAACGATCGCGATCGGGGATGATTACTCCGATTCAGAATGTTCAATGAGTCCGGTCTCTAGGAGCTTCTTCAGCAGTTCGTAAACTATCACCAGATATCTGGAGGCGATCTGTCGAGCACGCAATGCTATCGGCATCGCATCTCCGATATTTAAGGCACAAACGACTCCACGAGCTGGGGCTGGTGCGGCATTGCCAGCACCTAAAAAGATACGACGATGATAATTCAAGATCTTCCGCATCTTGTCCTCCATCTCGGGGGTCGTACGCCTGGAACGCCAACGTCGGCTTTGCCGATATCACACTCCGGACTCAACTCTTCTAACTCCAGAAACATAGTCAGATGATCGCTCAACTGAGCTAAGAGCTCCGTCCCTTCACGCAGATATACAGCTGGTTCCAGATCTAACTCTTCCACTGTCACTTGCATGACACGATCGTATTCTTGTTCCAGTCTTTGGACCGGAGTATCTGAGAGGTCCGAGGCGTCATCCATGGGATTTGAGAAATCGTCCAATGCACTCTCAATGACATCCTCTAGTGCGTCCTCCGAGTCGAATTCTGGAACGCACTCCGAAACGTCGTTCGTTCCTGAGGCGAAATGCTCCGGACTCAACGTCGGGTGACATTCTGGATCCTTGGCTCTTGAAAAGGTGGCCACATCTCCTCTCAGGTCCTCTACGTTCCGTAGTCGTTCTGAATCCTCTGTACTCCTCACCGTCGCCCCAGTCATAGACAGCTCTGAATCCTTATCTCGGACTCCCGGCTTGGTGGGTTGATCAGAAGCAGAGCTACACCGATCCAAAACGTCATATCCACAAGAGCTTGGGAAATCAACTTGGGTACCAGCATCTCTAGTGTCCACTGCTCCGGTCTCTTCGACGGGTGTCGTCACCTGGACATCGGTCAGGCCTTCCACCTGTAAGGCACTTGCCTCCGGTTTCGGGGCGGCTCCACGTCGCGCAGTGAGGGAAACTTCTACAACCTCTGGTCGTTCCTGCAACTGTACCAGCCTGACTTCCGCATCCTGAGGCCTTGGGCGTACGAGGAGTTTGGTAGGCCATTGGTACTCTGGTCGTGGCACCGCGGGGGGTCACGAATTCGCATCAACTGCTCCAGCCGCTCAGCACGCATCCGGCCCTGACGCGACTTGGTGCTCTCGAGAATAAGCCGTTGCCACTCCTTATACCTGATCTTCCCTGGGCGGACGAATCCTGGCTCCTTCGGGAAGTTCCGTAGTCCACAATCCAAGCAAGGGCAGTCCGGGTGTCGATCCAGACATTTCTATCCGAAACGTTGACCACTCGGACTGCCGTAGCCCAGGACCGGACTCCAAACAGAATCTCTGTCACCCATCGTTTTCCTCGTCCGGCCCAGACCACTTCTCGCTGCGGATTAGTCTGTCCATACTCAATTTTGACTACCGCAGCCTCGCCCGGACGCAGATATAAACTTTCCTTCGCGCAGACTGGCAATTCCAGTCCTCTCCGCTTCCTCGGAACAAGGAACATCGTCGTACATCACGACATTCTCCTTATCCGGTAGCTTGACTAATCCGTCACGGATGCACAATCGAACTCCCGCCGAGTACATGAAGTTCATTCCCAATAATACGTCCACACCTTCACCAATGTTTCCGATCTAGACATCTTGAATATAGACCACTTCCCAACCAAGGGTAATATGACGCGAGCATGCGCAGAGGTATATGTCGGGATCCCTCCCAAGCCAGATACCTTGATCTGCCGATGCGTTCGGATTTTGAGGCTGAGCCTACGCGCTAGGTCCAGACTCACAATGCTCACCGAAGCACACATGTCTAGGAGTATCCTTGTTCGCCGATCATTGATCGTCCAACACACAGTGGCGATCTCGTACGACTTCTCTGAACCATGATCTTCCCACCATCCATATCTCTGGCCCGGGCCTAGTGCGACTTCGACCGGGGCTTCGGCAGGACTCGATCCTGAATCCGGTTTGTTAGAACGCTGATATTCAGGGTAGAGTTGCTCAGGGAAACTGATCTCGTCTTGAATTAGAGTCATGTATTGTTGGTTATCTTGGTTTTGGTCTTTTTTTCTTCTTTCTGGACCCATACAAACTAGCACACACAATTTAGGGGGGTTCTTGAGCCCGTCGCGTACTGGATCCACATCCAGCGGGCTTAGTGGTTTAACTGCTGCTTCCCTTGTCCTGTATCCTTCGTCTGTAGTTGGGCCAGAGTCTG